CGATTCTGTGGGAAGTAAACAGGAAACTATACATTAAGCTTGCCATATAGCTGCTGTTGATTCTGCCTTTAAAATAAGGTACTTCTGGCTGATGGCAGCTAAGTGGAGATCAGCGTCCCCAGCATTAGCTTAATGAAAAGCAGCGCGGCAGAAATGGACCATCCTGAAAATGTAATCAGTACCACCATCCCAACGATTACAATTATTGCCGTTTTGTTTGTCGCAGTAGTCAGTGCTCAAAGAATCTGGCGAAATAACCTGCCTCACGTCTTGTCGGACATAATCAATCTATACCAAAAGAGCTGTTAAACTTACAGAACACCCAGAGGACGACGACAAATTGACAAAAATGCCAGCTATAACAATATTCTTTTGTTTACGAAGAAAAACTTTACTAATAAACACTTTTCATCAACACAATCACGCATTTCTTTTGCGTACCCCAACGGTGGTATATTTACCGGAAAGGTTAATTATCGCTGCTTGAAAAGCTTCTTTTTGATATTGCCATTAAATGGAAAGAGACGGTTGTTTATGTTTGTGAAAATGAATTGGACAGCACGGAGCACCGGTTTACACCGCGACCTACTTCACTATCGCAACCGAAGCTTGGCTACCTTCGCGTTAAGAACCTCAAAAGAAAGATGAATCTTTATTTATGAAGAAAGGCCGATGACGACTACTCTTAAAAATCCACTTTTTCACTGGAACAAACACAATGAACTGTGATACTGCGCCGACTTTGACATTACACAAGCGGAAACCTCAACAATTCCTTGTCAACCTGCTCAAAAACGCGCTTCGGCGCTGAAATGAAAGAAAAGTGGCCAGAAAATGGGCCATCTGTAAGATCAAGAGTGCATTTTTAAGCCCAAAAGACGGCTCAGTCATGCTAGGAAGAAAGCAGCGAGCATCTCCAACATTACTATACCATTTTATAGAGGCTTCGCAAATTTCCAACAGGTGTAATGGCGTATGTAAATAACTAGGAATACATTGATCTTCACTGCCACCTTTTCGAAAACTCAATTTACTTGCTGAAGTGACTACATGGGAACAATATATTT